GGTGGAGAGGACCCGGGTAGACCGGTGGAGCTCCATCTAGCTCGCTCTGAATTTTGTCGTCAGCCAGCAAGCACAAAAAAAGCCCCGCCAGTACTTCAGCATTAGACCACGGTGTTGTCATTATTGTTTTTAAAATCTTTAAAATAGGTCCAGCCGCTACTCCAGTCAGAGAAATTGCAAATGGCGGATCGGTGTTTTGAAAAGTTTCTGAAAGATCCATTGACTCCTCCCCCTGACCAATCAGTGACCGACAGTGCGCTGACGTCACATCTGGACCCAACAAGAACCAGACCTGGGACCCCAGAGAAGTAGGTCCCAAAAATTGTGCGGGTTCCACCGCTGAAAGCACTGTGATAAACTACGCAATCGGCCCAAACTGGTTACATAGGAGCCTGAAAAAGCCCTGCGGATAAGGGGTTTATGTCATAATGTCATGTTTCTATAAAGAAACTGTCCAGAGGACCTGCCTTAAGTTTGTTAGATTTTTCTACCTGGAATATTGAACATGAATCAGGATATTTTGAACCACTTTGGCCATGACTTCCTCAAATGAGTCAGCATGGACTGCAGAAACCACCTGAGCACCATCAAACTGGTTGATCCACAATGCGAAGGTGCTATTTATAAGACTGAGTTTGTTGTGCCTCCTTGGACTGATGAAGTCTCGAGTCTTTTGGATGAAAGACGAAACATTTCAACAAAAAGAAACCTTCCAGAGAACCTGAAAACTTTGTTGGATTTGTCTACCAGGATCTTTCTGTCAAGATGTAATGCAATATATTTGACCAAAATTGTCCAGTCATGGCTAAACTTATCCGGAAAGTAGGAGTGGTCCTGAAGCCTCTCCTTTGAGATCTTGACCCCTCCAGGACCTTCACAGAGTGGTCCTGAAGTCACTCCTCTGAGATCTTGGCCATGTGTTTTGGGTCATTGTCCTGCTGAAAAATGAACTGTCGCCCCAGTCTGAGGTCCAGAGCTCTCTGGAGCAGGTTGTCATCCAGGATGTCTCTGTACATCGCTGCAATTTTCTTTCTCTCTATCCTGACTCATCTGTCTGTTCCTGCTGCTGAAAATCATCCTCATAGCATGATGCTGCCACCACCATGCTTCACTGTAGGGATGGTGATGAGCTGGTTTCCTCTAAACATGATGCCTGGCCTTCACAGCAAAGAGTTCAATCTTTGTCTCATCAGATCAGAGAATTTAGTTTCTCATGGTCTGAGTCCTTCATGTGCCTTTTGTCAAACTCCTTTTATTAAAGAGAGGCTTCTGTCTGGCCACTCTACCATACAGGCCAGATTGGTGGATTGCTGCAGAGATTGTTGTCCTTCTGGAAGGTTCTCCTCTCTCCACAGAGGAACGCTGGAGCTCTGACAGAGGGACCATCATGTTCTTGGTCACCTTCCTGACTAAGGCCCTTCTCCCCCGAACTCTAATTTTAGCCAGCTGGCCAGCTCTAGGAAGAGTCCTGGTGATTCCAAACTTCTTCCATTTATGAATGATGGAGGTCACTGAGCTCAATGGGACCTTCAAAAAAAGCAGAAATCTTTATGTATCCTTCCCCAGATGTTTACCTCAACAACATTGTTTCCCCTACCGTTATCCAAGGAGGGCGCCCTTCCCTGTGCACAGAACCGAGCGTCGGCCTACAGAAATGTCCCTACCCCCCACAAATCCAAGGCCTGGATCTGATTACAAGTTTCTGTCCAAGGTCTGCAGATGATCGAGAGTTTCTGTCCAAAGTCCGGAGATGATCGAAAGTCTCTGTCCAAGGTCTGAAGATGATCGAGAGTCTCTGTCCAAGGTCCGGAAATGATCGAAAGTCTCTGTCCAAGGTCTGAAGATGATCGAGAGTCTCTGTCCAAGGTCCGGAGATGATCCGGAGTAGTGCTGGACAATAATTCAATATCGATATATCTCGCGATATACTTTTATTCAATAACGGTGATATGAGTTTTAAGCACATTTTTGATACTGCAATAGGATTACAGCGTTTCACTGACACATTTCTTTTTCTGTTCGGGTTGAAGTGGTCACTTCAGTTTCAACCTGAACAGCAAAAGTTGCGACATAACTACATAAGTGCATGGTGACGTAGATGTTACGCAGAGCTCGAGTCCAGAAGGGGTTAGCGGTAGCAGGTTAAGCTAAGCTAATCTCCAACGCTTGTTAAGTTTTTGCTTCAAAATGAGTGCCCATGACCATCAGAATGTGGCTGAACAAGGTTTCACAAGCGAAGAGAAAGCAGATGACATCATTGATGAGAGAGGAAAGACTAATTCGCCGGTGTGGAAGTGGTTCGGCTATCTAAGATCTGAAAAGCTGCAGGTTTATACTGCAAAATGTGACAGAGTCTTTCCAACTAGCAGTGGGAACACATCTAACTTGTTCCACTCGATAGAATATGCTGAGAGTCAGAAGATGAAGCACAATAAAAGTTTGAGTCAATGCGTCCTTGAAACAAAACCCCCAGCGCTGCATGAGTTGGTTTAAAAAAAAAAAAAAATTATTCATTTATTCATTCATTTAAAATGAAACAAATTCATCAGAAAGAAAAATATCATTGAACGAAACGGGTGCAGAAAGGAGAAAAAAATTCTTATCTGCCCCTTATTTAAAAAATACAAACTAACTACAAACAAACAACAATCTTCACTTGAACAATCTCCAAACTGAAAACAAAAAAAACTTCAGCTATCCTTCACGTGGCACTATACTTTCTCAACAATTTTAACTTAATAATTTTTTTAAACATATAAATTGTTTTAGAAATTTTTATGGCAATATCAAGGCAATTCCATAATCCTATTCCCTGAATTACAATGTAGCTCTGTTCTGTGAAATTATCTTAAACAAAATACAGGTTCAGGGAAAGGTCGGAGCAATGAATGAAAACTCACGGGCTGGTTCTGCTAGGATAATAAGTGTCATTTATTAAACTGCCACAGATACAGCGAAGCAAAGTACATTCAGTACAAATCAAACATTGATGTAAAGCCCCTCACCGTGACACCGACTGGGGAGCCATTTCAGTCCGAGTAGAAAGGTAACATCAATTGGCTGGGCATCGGATCAGGATCCACAGCAGACTCCAACTCTAATTCTGAGTGTCACACTTTAATACTCTCTGCATTACATGGGAACATCTCCCAGCAACATGCCCACCTGGACTCAAAGTCTGTGAAAAACCCTTGAGATATCGTGAGAGCGTGAGAAGCTTAAAAAACTCTAGATAACCAGGGAGCGTGAGAAGCTAGGTTGAGCAAAACCTCCAGATAGCGTACAAGAGGAGGCGGGCTGGGCCTCCTCCTCAGGCCTCTGGGTAACTCACAACAACATTAAAAAAAAAAAAACACTTTATATCACAGGTTAAAATAGTCAGAAAAACAACATTCTATTGAATTCTTTATTCATTCCACCCTTTGGTTTTCTGACTAATTTTGCCCTTACCAAAAACACTTCATATCACCAGTTAAAATAGTCAGAGAAACAACATTTTAAACACTTTTATATCGCAAGTTAAATAGTCAGAAAAACAACATTTTATTGAATTCTTTATTCAAGCTCCTTCAGACTAGTTCTAAATGGAGGTTTTACAAACATTTACATTCCCTTAAGGTTATATTGACTCTCTTTTTTTTTAAACAAATTTTAATTGAATATTTGGGATAATATTTTTATGAGCTTTATACATGACTTGTAAAATACTATATTCAACCAAATCATAAAATTTTAATAATTTCAACTGATGAAATGATATATTTATTGGGTGACCATATCACTTCCTACTAATAATTCTTATAGCTCTTTTTTGTAAAATAAAAATAGGGTTTGTAATTGTTTTGCATGTTTTCCCCCAAACTTCAATACAATAGATTAAATATGGAACAATCGTTACATTATACAATAAATACAAAGCTTTGTCATTCAAAAACTCTTTTACTTTATATAGTAATGCAATTGATTTTGCTATTTTTATTGTTAAGTAGATTTCCATGTCAGCTTCTCATCAATAACAACACCCAAAAATTTTATTTCATTAACTCTATGAATTTCAGTACTGCCAATTTTAAAGTTGTTGTTTAAAGTTAAAACTATTAATATTGACAAAGTTGAAAATTTTATGTTTGACGTGATTTCAATTTTTTTGAAGGCTAAATACAAATAAAAGGTGAACATTAATTTATTTGTATAGTTTGGAGTTTTTCTGAGGCTTTTATGTTGTTTATATCGATATCGAATTATATTGTTATCGACCGAAATTAAGAAATATATTGTGATAAAAGTTTTGGCCATAGCGTCCAGCCCTAATCCAGAGTCTCTGTCCAAGGTCTGGAGATGATGGAGAGTCTTTTTCCAAGGCCTCACTGAACTCCTTCCACAACTGAGCCACAGTCTTGGGCCTGTTGATGCCCCTCAGCGTCCTCTGGAGGCCTGATAGGACTCAGTCTTCAGCTTGACAGCCTCTGTCAACTGGGCTGTCCACCACTGGGTTCGAGGATGACTGCCTTAAGAACCACCAACAACTTTGCAGAAACAGTTCAGGCAGCTGCTTTGACAATGGAGGTGCAGAACGTGGCCCACTCAGACTCAGTGTCCCCCCACTTTTGCTGGGATGTGGTAGAAAGTGCCTTCAGCTCAGGTTTTGTTCAGTGAGATAGTATAATATGCAAATTGTTGAAGTATTTGTATGTGCTCCAATACCTCCCCTGACAAAAAGATCATGATTCTTGTTTTTATAGTTAATGAATATTGACTTCCAGGATTAAAACACTAGAAGCAGTAGATTTAGAAATCTTGAAAAGAGATTTTGTTTGAGGCACATATACTTTAAAACTTAAACACACAAAAAAAACCTTGGTGTGATAAATACACACTTCTTAAAAAAACTAACATATTTAATTTACTCTTGTTATGGACACCACCTAGCATCATAAATACACCAACCAACACTTCCCTCAGTTGTTAACTGTTCATACTTTTCTGTCTTTGTGTTTTAGTTCTTCTGGCGTCGTCGGACCCTCATGGCCAGGCCCATGATCAAAGAGGCAGGAATGGGTTCACTGCTTCTGGAGAATCCCTATTATATCCTTTGTTTGTTCCTCACTGTCTGATGTCTTCCTGATTTCTTCTCTTTTTTTGTACTTTTTAAACTACTTTAAAACAGCAACTTTAAACCTTTCCTTGTTTTATGGGCACAAGACAAAGCTAGAAGCCATTGTTGAAATTAACAGGTGGTACGCAGATGTCCCTTTTTGCTGACCTCTTTGCTGAGGGATTTGAACTGTGAGTGCTTGTAGTTTTCAAGATCAGTGTTGTTCTGGACAAACTGAACAGAGAATGCAAGTAGTAAACGTTTGTTTTTAGTGCAAGATATTCAAGGACTTACACTGTGTAAGAAGAGTAGTGGTTTTTTTGTTTTTTTGCTTGTCCTAGACTAGAGCAGAGGTCACCAACCTTTTTGAGACTGAGAGCTACTTCAGTGGGACGGAGTGACACGAAGGACTACTTGTTCGATCCAAACAAATTTGCACGGCTCACCTTTAATTATAGTATTAATAATAATGCATTTACATACATGTGAATATGTGACTGCCTGGTCACATCTTAATGTTAAGGACTCCCCACAGTGATTATCAGTAAGGATTTAATATGGCAGATTTGATCAATTATTATTGATAATTAGTGATTAGAACACTCGATCAAGAACTTGAGTCCTCAGTTTGAATCCTTTTTGGCTCTTCTGTGTGACTCTTTAAATAGTCTGTGACTGGGAGTGTGGATAGTTTGTCTCTTTGTCTGTGTCTCTGTGATGGACTGGAGACCTGTCCCTGCCTTCACCCATAAGCTGAAATGAGCTCCAGTCCCCAACAAAGGAGGCATAATGGATGAGTTACTAGAGCAGAAAACTGATATTTAAACATAAGTACTATTCCTTTTATGTTAATCTCAATCAGTAACATTTTAAATGCAGTGTATTTTATAAATATTTTATTAACAGTTTTGTAGCAATGAACACATTTGTCCTATTCATCACATGATCATATGAGCAGCTGGTTTTGGTTGTCAGCAGCAAACTGGTTGATCCACTCTGAGAAGGTGCTATTTATAAGACTGAGGCGAATACAGCACCTCAGACTGAGGAAGTTTTTCGGATGAAAGACGAAACGTTTCTACATTTATTTTTTTTTGTTTTGCTTTGTTTTGCTTTGTTTTGTTTTTTGAATGTCCAGAGGACCAGATTTAATTTTTTTTAGATAAATATATACAGACCCTTTCCACAAAATTAGAATATCATGGAAAAGTTGTTTAACTTCCATAATTCCATTCAAAAAGTTAATCTTTAACAGATGATAGATTCAGGGCCCACAACTAAAATGATTTCAAGTATTTATTTGTTTATTTTTACATAATTTGGGCTTCTAGCTCATGAAACCCATGAAAACAGGATTTAAAAAATTAGAATACTGTGGAGAAATCAGCCCAAATTTTGCATGAATGTTTTAAACTGAGTGTGACACACTAATCATCTACTAAACTCAAAGCACCTGCACAGGTTTCCCCCAGGTGTCATTAAATTGCTTCATTTTGGTTCAATTTTCTCAGTGCAGTTCAATATGGGGAAGACTGCAGACATAACAACTGGCCATAAGACCATCATTGATACCCTCTATAGGATGGGTAAGCCACAAAAGTTCATACCTAAGGAGATTGGCTGTTCGCAGAGTGCTGTGTCCAAGCATATCAATGTAAAGTCTAGTGGAAGGGCAAAATGTGGCAGGAGAAGATGCACCAGCAAAAGAGATGACCATGGGCTTCAGCGAATTATCAAACAGAGAAGATTCCAGAATCTGGCAGAGATCCAGAAAGAGTGGAATGAGGCGGGAGTCACGGCTTCAAAAACCACCACATTCAGACGCATATGGGAGATGGGCTACAACTGTTGGGTTCCTCGGAGCATGAAAGTAAAGTGTGCCTTTCATTCAGAAATCAAGGTCCAATGGTTTGGAGGAAGAAGGGTGAGGAACAGAGCCCATACTGCTTGAGGTCCAGTGTGAAATATCCACAGTCAGTCATGATTTGAGGTGAAATGTCCAGTGCAGGTGTTGGTAAACTCTGCTTTCTTAAATCCAAGGTCACCACAACAGTCTACCAGAATGTTTTAGAGGACTTCTTGATTCCTTCTGCTGAGGATCTGTATCGAGATGCAGATTTCATCTTCCATCAGGACCTGGCCCCAGCCCATGGCACCAGAAGCACCAAAATCTGGCACTGAAGGGAGGTCTGGGGGTCCTCCCCCAGAAAATTTTGAATAATTAGATGCCATTTCCTGCATTCTGGTGTATTTTAATGGTTGTTTAACATCTAGTTTTACCTACATAAGTAAACACTGGGAACGCTTTGGGATTCCCCTGGAGGAGCTGGCCCAAATGGCTGGGGAGAGGGAAGTCTGGGCCTCCCTACTTAGGCTGCTACCCCTGCGGATTGATGGAAGTAAACACGTGATTCAATAACTATTTTAGAGCTAATGGCTCAACAAGAAGTAGCCTGACCAACAGCTGATTCAATGAATTAAAAATATTATATATTCAAAGGTGACGATTTGATGCCCAAATTAAAATTAAATGCCTGTAACTTCGTTAACTTCAAATGAAACAAGATTATCAATGTATGTTTGTGACAAAGGATTTACTGAGTATAACAGTTCTATTTCGTATAAGCTTCGCCCTTTAAGGCCTTCGCTAGTGGGTTTATCCCGTTATGCGCAGCATAAGCACTGAAAAAATTTAGTCCACGCCCACCTGCTGTGTGGGCCCCACCCGGTCCGTATAAATTACGTTAAGAGCGGGAAATCGGCTCCCATTTTTTCTTCAGCGAGCTAAAAATAGCACTGTCAGAAGAACAAAGAAGGTAAATTGTGTAAATGACCAACCTTTGTTAAAGATGCTTGGCCCGGCAGTCGACCTCCGGTCGTCCGGTGAGTTCTCCTCCCCGAGGAGAAGATGACGAGCAGTCTTATTCCAAGGTAAGAGCCGGGGAATATTTTCCAGTGACAGGTCACTACACGCTGGACAACGCCATCTTGTATTTTTTCCTCTTATCGCTGACCCTCGGGGCGAACCGGATGGTTCCTCTGGGACAAGGCGTGCTCAGCTGCAGCCCCCCGCTGCTCATTCCCTCCTGGGGAGCGTAGTGTCGGTGGAGGGGGGCTGAGTGAATGCTCACCCCATCCCACCTCGTTTCGCATCGGCGATCACACCGCTCCCGGCCGACAGCGCCCTCACGGTTGCCCGGCGGAACCCAGGAGGAGGCTGACATGAAGGGACCCCTTTTTTCTACGTCCCACGCCTTTTCCCGCCAGTTCGGATGATCCGGCGGGAAGGTTGTTTCACTGGGCTCCACTCTGGCTCACCGTCTTGATCCATACGGCCTCGTGTTCCAACAGGACGTTCGACGGGCGAGGCCACAGACGGTTCTTTCCTGGTAGATTGGGGGAGTCGGTCCCCAGTCCGCACCCATCACCAGAGTTGAGGGGTTCACCGAGCGGGGCTATTCCTCGGTAACCCCCCTGGAGCCAAGCCTCGCGGAAGCTTTCGGAGCGAAGCTGCCCAGGTCGGAGCAGCGTCCCGTCCCTCCGGAGGAACACGAACCAGACGGTGACCACGCTCTCCAATCGAGCCCACCAATGTGTTTTTCAGGCAGCCGCAGCTAGCAACAACGTGGCGCTGCTAGCATATAGCATGTCCAAGGGACTGAAGGCCGCAGACCTGCTTTGGAGACAAAGAACTCCCTCTGTAAGGCAGCTGACGTCAGCTCAACATGTGTGCCTCTCCTACGGTTTGCCTGTCGAGGATTGCAGCGTGGATGACGATGATCCAACGATCCACCTGGCTTCGTTACTCCCCTCACTGCCAGAGAAACTGCACAAGACCTGATGAAGCCCCATCGCGGACGCGCTGTTCGAGAGCAGCTTCAAAACCATGCTGGCGAATTGAAGCAGTCGTAGGAGGTGCCAGAGGCTGTGCGCCACCTCATCAAGCCGCGCGGCTCATCCAGGCCCGCTGGAGGGACCGTCGCGAGCAAGCATCGACTTTTCCACGGCCGCGGCTCTCGCTCAGTTCCACCAGCAGCCCCGCCCGTCAGAATCCAGCCCTCTTCATTCCGGCAACCTGCAGCTCAGCGTTTCCCCAGAGTTCGCCTGCAAGACAGCGCTCTGGGCAAACAAATCGCAGAGCTCATGAGAGAGAAGTTTTTAAAATGACGGTCTCCGGAGGGTGTGTGTAAAAGTGACACGAAAGTTGAAATAAATCATCATTCAATGATCAAAGTGTCTTGTTTTTTAGCCAGTCTGTAAGCTCGGATGAGCTCACAGCGGCCGCACACATAAGGAGCCGGTGTCCTTAAATAAAGGTTTTTTAAACCGCCGCTCCAAGACATGACGAGTCGCTCACATGACACGATGGTAAGCGAAAATAACTCGTTATCAACTAGAGCTGCACGATCCTCACTCAAGCGGTGTCAAACTCGCACTCGTGGGATGAAACAGCCTCCACACATAAGGAGCCGGTGTCCTTAAATAAAGGTTTTTTAAACTCACCGCCGCTCCAAGACATGACGAGTCGCTCACACGACACTATGGTAAGCGAAAATAACTCGTTATCATCCCGAGCTGCACGATCCTCACTCAAGCGGTGTCAAACTCGCACTCGTGGGATGAAACAGCCTCCATCCAACGGCGCTGCGTTGATGTTGGCGCACCCACACAGCTGCCCGGCGCTAACCGGCTCACATCGGTATAAATGTGGTCCGTAGGCTGGTTCGGGTGGAGGTCCTTCACTCTCACAAGAAGCGACACTCGTCTCAACGAATCAAACGCGGGCAGCCGTCACCCACCGCGTCTCAGGCGAGAGCGGCGCGCGTCCCTCCAGAGAAAACGTGTGCTCCCGTGGGGCTCGCAGCCTTCACTCCAACAGCACGGCGTAGATGAAGTCACGCCCTCCGCCTCTCAACGTTCGCACAGCGACGTCAAACGCGCAGCCCCACGGCGTCATCAGCTGTCACACGCTTCGCCTCAGCACAAGCCT